TCCATGTATTTTTTTTTTTCCTTGCTCTTCCTGTTGTTGATTTGTAATTTTATAGCATGTGATCTGAAAAGATGCTTTGCAGTATTTTGATGTTTTTAAATTTATTGAGGTTTCCTTTGAGGTGTAGCATATGATCTATTCTGGATTCTGGAGATATTCAGTATGCACTGGAAAAGAATATCTATTTTGCTGTTTGGGGTGGAATGTTCTATATATGTCTGTTTTGGTTACCTAGTGCCACTCTGACAAGAGTACACCACAAATGGGATGGCTTGAACAAACAGGAGTTTATCCTCTTAGAGTTTGGAGGCTTTAAGTCCGAGTTCAAAGTGCCAGGCTCTAGGGGCTGGGTGAAAGCTCCTCAACCTTGGGTGTTAGCTCTGCCTTCTGCTCCTGGCCCACTGAAGCTGGAGGCTTTTCTTCACTCAGCTGCTGTTGGCTGCTGAGACTGACAAGCCCAAGGTTGACAAGTAAAAAGGCACAGTCCCGATGTTACCAGACCACACAGCAGGCCATTAATTCAAGTCCATTAAAGGTCCCAAGGTCAGCAAAGCATGGCAGGCTGCTGAACGATGACGTGGTTACATGCAGGGTTCAAGCGTTCAGTGATCATTCCCAAAGGTGTTTCTTATATATGGCAAGCAGACCACATCCCTAAAGCAGCTACTCAGCTGTTTGTTGTAGATCCCACTATGGAGCTGATTGCCAGTCTCATCATGGGTAATAACTACCACCAGCTGCCCAGCCACTCAACCAGGCCCAGCCAAATTGACACAAACCTTAACTACCACAATGTCTATGGGGTCAAATTGGTTGATTATGTTGCTTAGCTCTTTGTTGAGTTTATTTCTAGTTGTTCTGTCCTTCACAGAAAGTGGTTGTATTAAAATCTCCTGCTGTGGTTATGGTTTTATCTATTTCTCTTTTCAATTCTGTTAAAGTTTAATGTGTGTATTTTGGTGCTCTTTTATTGGGTGCATATTTACTTATTGTAGTTTTATTCTCTTGTTGGATTGACCCTTTAATCATTATATAATGTTCTTCCTTGTCACCTTTACTAGTTTTTGCCTTAAAGTCTGTTTTATCAGTAATTAGTCTTTCCACTCCTGCTCTTTTTTGTTTGCCATTTGCTTGATATATATTTTTCCATCCTTGGAATTTTAGCTTATTTTTGTCTTTATGCCTAAGGTGTGTCTCTTGTAGACAGCCTATGGATGAATCATGTTTTCTTATGAATTCTGCTACTCTCTGACTTTTGACTGGTCCATTTGATCCATTTGTATTCAGTGTAATAATTGGTAAGTATGTGTTACTGCTGTCATTTTGCTGTGTTGTGTGTGTGTGGTGCTGAGGATTTCTTTGTTCCATATATTTTTCTGTTCCAAGTTCATTTTGTTTATGGGTGTTCTTATCATTTTCTTCATTGCTATTATTTTAGTGTATATTGAATCTTTTTTATTTTTCTTCATTTTTATTTTGATGAGAAAGTTAACTAATTTTCTTTTACATTACTTTGTAAATTTTTTATTTTCCTTCCCAATTTAAAACAGTCTGTTCTATATTGTTATCATCTTGACTTCCTTTCCATTTGGAAGTTCTAAAGTGCACCATTTATTCCCTCTTTTTGCTTTGTAGTTGTCATTGTTTACAAATTGACATCTCTGGTTCTCTATTTTAAGTCTTCTAGATTTATTTTATTTTTGAAACTTCTATATTTGGGTTGATTGCTGGGTAATGTTGTCATTTGTCTTAATCTCAGGTTGTTGTCTTCTGTTGATGATTCTCTGTCCAAAGGACTCTCTTTAGCATTTCTTGTAAGCTTGGTCTGGTTTTTACAAATTCCTTTAATTTATGTTTATCTTGAAATGTCCAAATTGAAAGAGAGTTCTGCTGCATATATACTTCTTGGTTGGCAATTTTTTCTTTTCATGGCTTTTATATGTCATTCTGTTGCCTTCTCACTTCCTTACTTTCTGCTGAGAGCTTAGTCTTACTGGTCTTCCTTTGTTGTTTACTTTTTGTTTTTCCCAAGATGCTTTCAGAATTCTTTCTTTGTTTTTGGTTTTGGAAAGTTTGATTACGGTATGTTTTAGTGATGTTCTTTTGGAGTCTGTCTTAGGCTCGATTTGCTAGAGAAGCAAAACCAGTGAAACATATCTATGTCTTCATATGTAGATAGATAGATAAGTAGAAATTTATCCTAAGGAAATGGCTCATGCAATTGTAGAGGCTGACAAATCCCAAGTGTGTGGGACAAACATCAAGCTGGAAGCTTCCCCTCACTCATGCAGCTGCGGGAACTGATGAATCCAAGATTGGCAGGCAGTATAGCAGGCTGTTTGGTTTTGGAGGGTGATGAATCCAAGATCAGCAGGTAAAATGGCAGATTGTTGGCTCACAGGCTGTGAAAACAACAATCCAAGATCAGTAGGCAATACAGCAGGACACTGGTTCAAGTCTAGAAACTGGAGATGATGATGAGCTAGATTCAGGATCAAAATCTAGCAGAATGCCAAAGAATTTTCCCAGGATGCTCATATATATATTGGAAGCAGGTGACACCCCTGAGGAAACTCTCTTTCAACTGATTGACTCCTCATATCACATCTCATCATAGAGATGATTAAATTATATCACACCTCACGACAAGAGATGATTACATCTGACTGCTTAAGCTACTTAGAATCGTGGTCCAGCCAAGTTGACACACAACCTTAATTATTACAAAGTCTATCCTATGTGGGGTTTGTTGAGCTTCATAAAAGAATATCTTCTCCTTTTTCATGATATTAGGAAAGTTTTCTTCCAACCAGTGTTCAACAATTTTCTCAGTACTTTTTTCTGTCTCTTCCTGGTCTGGACTTCCAATCCCACATAGATTATTCCTCTTGCAGGTATTCTACAGGAGCACGTACTGCCAACCTTAGAGGGGAGAGGGCAGAATCTTCTAATGCGGAAGTGGCAAGGGGAGGATGCTCATTTCACCAGATTGGGGAAGGGGGAGAGAAAAAAAATCAAGAGTGGTGTCAAAGAGGGAAGAACTATGAAGAAAGGAAAAAAGGGTAGAAAAAAGATGAGCACAGCACTGGCAGTGTGTGTGGGGTTTTGATCAACTGCCAGGTGGGTAGGTGGGCATACTTCTGATCATCAAAAGGTTGTGCTGTATAGAGTGGGGATTTTACCTCTTTGGTTGCTTTTTACTGTGTTGGTACCAGTGCAGTCCTGTGCAAGAAGAGCTGGTTATCTGGTTTCTGCCCTTATCGGAATGTTGCTTGCAATAATTCAAAATGGCCACACTGTGCCAGAGTTGTTGACAATTCACCACTCCATATGCCTCCTTGATCACTGCTGTTATTTAGTCTCTTCCTCTAATCAGTTTTATCTTTTTCTTTATCTTTTCTTTTGAAGCTCAGGACTGTAGGATTTGCCATTCATATCCATTTCATGTGGTTTCTGGGGGTCTTTGTTGTAGAGGGTCCAGACAGTATATCTGCCTACTCTGCCATCTTGGCCACCCTTGAGAACTACTGTTATAGAACAACTATTGAAAGTTTCTAAACATGTTATTTTTTAGATGGAGGGATGGGCAATCTACTTCCATAGTGATACCATCTCAGGAGGGGTTGCTATGAGTCAGATCCAACTCAACAGCAGTGAGTTTAGTTTTTAAACATGTTATATTACAAATATTAATGTGATATTGCTTTGCTGGAAAACTTGACAGTTGGGAGATACTATGGTTAAACAGATCAATAATATAGTATTGGAATAGTGTAGGCATAAGCAGTAAGGACTTAAGTTAGGATGCTGGCAGTAGGATCAGAAAGGATGGAATATTTTTGAAGCCCAGTTTACTTGGAAAAAGCAGAACCTAGTGATCAGATATGGGACTAGAAGAGAGAGAACTCAAAGATTAAATTCAAAATTTTAAGGCTAGAGCAGTAATTTTTAATCTTTTTCACTTTTAGAAACATACATTTGTACATTTTATAGTTAACTAGGGGTAAAGATATCTGCATATTTATTGATGAAAATGTATTTTGATAAGAGAATCAATATGGTGTAGGAAATACAGTGTGCTCAGTAAAGTAGAGGGCCAGTGAAAAAGACGAAGACCCTTGATGAGATAGATTGATGCAGTGCTTGCAATAATGGGCCCAGGAATGGGCAGTGTTTTGTTCTGCTGGACATAGGGTCACTGTGAGTTGGAACTACTTGACTTATCTAACAACAAAGGAAAAAGAAGAGAAATACTGAAGGAAAGAAGAATGATTAGATGTACATGAATGAATCAAACATTCAATTTCTGTATTTCCAGAGAGCAGTGCAACAGGATAGTTGCTGGAGATTTCTTCTTACTGAATTCTATATAAATTCAGAGTAGAATTTACTTTATTTGCATTTTTTTAGCTTCTTTATACTTCAGTTAATGTTCATAGTTTTAAATTTACAAATAATTGGAACTTCAAAGAGACCACAGGGACTGCAATGCCTGGATTGGTGGCTCCCCTGAGTTCATGGATATTTCTAAAATATCTAAATTCTTAACTTTTTCTAGTTTGGATTGATCTTATTTGTAATTCAAATAATAATGTTTTTTTCTGTCTTTCTAATCAAGATTTATAAGTTCTGGTGGTGTGGTGCATAAGGCATTTTGGCTGCTAACCAGAAGGTTGGCAGTTCAAACCTAGCAGCCGCTCCACAAGAGGAAGATGAGGTAATCTACTTCCATAAAGATTTACAGCCTTGGAAACCCAATGAGAATTGCTATGAGTTGGAATTCACTTGATGGCTGTGGGCCTGGTTGGTTTTAGTTAGACTTAACTATGGATGTATAAATTTGAAGAACATATAAGGCATATAGTATATAAATCACAAAGTCCATATGAAAGTATAAAATGCTCTATATGATGTGAAAAAGATGATCAAAATATTTTATCTCTTTTTATATAAATAAATTTTAACTTTCCATCACTCAACCTTTATTATCATTTAATTAGCTGGATAGGTCTCGTACGTATTCTCTAGATGAATTTTGTGAAGGACAATTACAACAAGCTGCCCAGGCATTGAAACAGCTTGAGGATATCAGGGATAAAGCAATTACAAAGATAAAAAGAACAATTTTAAAGGTAATTATTTAATTATAGACTTTCTATTTATCAAGGTTATTATGTACTGATTAAAAGGAGCTCTGGTGGCATAGTGGGTAACATTTGGCTGCTAACCAGAAGGTCAGCAGTTCAAACCTAACAGCTGTTCCGCAGGAGGAGGATGAGGCAATCTACTTCTGTAAAGATTTACAGCTTTAGAAACCCAAAAGGGGTCACTAAGGGTTTGAACTGACCTGGAGACAGTGGGTTTGATGACATACTGACTAAAGTAATAGTTCCAAATTGCATCTCAGGAAAATATGTCAGAAATGGGCAAGGGAAGACACAAAGGTGATTAATAGGTTATTTAGTAACCAACTAACAAGTATTGCACATTTACTAGGTACAATAACTTTCCCAGGGACTGCGTAAATGCAAAGCATATTTAATATCTAATTTGAGCTTATATGTAAGGGAAATATAATTTATTACAAAGTTCACAGTATTCATAAGGCAAAGAAAAACCCATTGCTCAGAAGAAACATAACTAGATGAGACAAAATTTCCTAAGAATTTTATAAAGAGGACTCAGTGATGCAACAAATGTCTTCAAAGCATTCTTATCTTCTCTGTTGTGACTTCTCTCACAAGATTATTATTATTATTATTATTAATTGTGATTTGGGTGAAAGTTTACACAGCAAATTCCTATACAGCAGTTCATACACCTTTGTTTCATGACATTTGTTTGCAGTCCCCATAATGTAACAGTCCTCTTCCCACTTCCTCCCTGTAGTTACCTCTTCCCTGTCCTTTTTCCTATGCATTCTTGCCCTCTGAGCTATCTCCCTCTCAAGATTATTTTATACAGCTTTCCTATATAGGAAATGACAATGCATAAAAGCATAATTCAGCAGGTAAGAAACTGATACAATGTTATCTGGTTATGGACCTGCTGCCTCTCCTGGTTTGGCTGAATCCAAGTAGATATTTGAGGCTCTCTGGAGGAATGGATAAGGAGATCTGGTGGTAGTCTGAATACACCAGCTGTTCCACAGAAGAAAGGTGAGGCAGTCTGCTTCTGTAAAGATTTGCAGCCTTGGAAACCCAATGGGAGTTGCTATGAGTCAGCATCGACTCAATGGCAGTGAGTTTTTTGTTTGTTTTTTTGTTTTTGGAGGAATAGATGGATTAGGTATCCCTCAAACAATTTTCAAATATTGTTTCTCTCAATGGAACTTTTGATAGATGTTAAGTAGCAAAGACATTAAGACTTTACTTTTTGACAAGGAAAATGAAGTGCAGTGATTTTATTTCAACTAACTCTGCAGAGTTTGAAAACCTCTCATTCCTTATTTTATTCCTCACATTCCTCTAACCTCCCCAAACCCAGTCATATACAAACAAGCTCTGGGAGAGTGGGACTAAGGATTGTATAAATCAAAAACAAATTGAATAAAATGTAATGTAGATCACTGAGGTAGAGAAGGCTAAGAGAGAGAGAAAGAGAGAAGTGAAACACCACTCATAGTTATTTGTCATTACAAAGCACTGTTAAGTCCTCTATTTCCTCTACTATTTTGTAAAGACATTTGATACTTAAATGCTAAGGGCATGAATCTCAAACTTTACAGGGCAAGATAATCAGCTATAAGGCTTAGTAAAACAAGAAGTTTCCTTTCAATAGCGCTGGTGTCCAGTTTCAAACTTGATATGCGAATTGAACACAGTGTGCCTGGACTCCGTTTGTTTTTCACTGAAAATTTCTCTGAGAACAGTGGAATCAGATTTCAGAGAACTTTAGAGCTATCTGTTGGAAATAAAGTCACAGTTTCAGAAGTGATACACAAATTTCAATAAATATACCACCCTCCTTAAGAAGAGTAATTATTAAGCATCTCTTCTGTTAATTTGACTTTACAGGAAGATTTAGCATACATAACATTTGAAAAGAATACATGAATTTTTAAAAGTGCCCAGAAATGTCTGATTCCTCTGGCCGAACTCTAGACCAGGGGTTCTTAGCCGGGCTGTACACTGGAGCCACTTGAGGTGGCTTTTAATAAATATTGATGCTTGGAACCTATCTATACCAATTAAATAGGAATTTCTGAGGGCAGAGCCCAAGCGGTGCTGAAAAGCTGCTCAAGCGAATCTGAAATACAACTAGGTGGAGAAGCATTCTTCTGGCCAATGTTTGGGGCTGCCTAGCTCTGGAAAAATACACCACAATTATAAAACTGGTGAAATAGAAGCCAAGATGTAATCCAGAGTCAGAATTGTGATATGCCAAACCCAGAATGTACCCTATGATGATAGAGAACAGTTAGTATATTAAGTGTCATAATCTTCACCAGTCTCACCAATATTTATTTAAAAAGACCAAGATATCACTGGATACTTTTGTACTAATATGGTTGTTAAGCGGTTTAAGGTTGTTTTGTACCAGTGCTGAAAACCAAAATGTGAATAGTTAATAGACCCTGCTTCACCATTTTATCAGTTAAAAAAAAAAATCCATGTATTATGCACATAATGTTTCCAAATCACCTAGAAATGGTTGATGATACTAGTAGTGCTGATGCCACTTTATATCTTTAGTCACAATGTCTATATATATTGTTCAGTGACATTGGTTACATTTTTCATGATGCATGAGCATTCTAATTTTTTTCTACTCTGGTTGTACCATTTCCTTTAATCCAGCTTCCCTGTCCCCCTTACCTTCTCATTTTTGCTTTAGGGTAAATATTGACCATTGGGTTTCATCTACATGATTATTTAAAAGGGCACAGTACTCATAGGTGATAGTGTTTATTTTATGAACCAATTTATTATTTAACTGAAAGGTAACCTCTGAGAGTTGGTTCTGTTCCAAACTTAAAGGGTATCTCAAGGTGATGGTCTCAGAGGGTCTTCTGGCCCAATAAGTTTGGCTTTTTTTTTTTTTTTAGGAATTCAAGATTTGTTCTAAATTCTTCTCCTTGTCATTATATTCTTTAAAAAATAAAACTCTAACATTGAATTTAATTTACTTAATTTTTTATAGTGTGGCACATATGTGTTTTAAAACATCAAATTGCTATGCCTAACATAAATGCACCATTGGACTGGAAATCTTATATTTGATAAATGTCAATGTATTTGAAAAGGTCACATTCTGTAGGAACACGTGAATACTCTTTAGTACTTACTTGTTTGACTTCCATACACTTACCTGCTTGCAAATAAGATTAAAATTTATAGACTTCAGAACACAGGAGTTGTTTTTTGTTTTTTCTCCTGTTTAAAGAGAATGTAAGCATGAGGAGAAGTTTTAATTCAAGTGTAGCTCCAGTATGTTATTCAGGCAATAAAAATACTATAAACTAGAAATTGTGCTATATTAGAATAAGTAATAACTACTTGTCTGTCAACTCTTTATTAAATTGTAGGTGGCAGAAAAGAAAGATTTGAAAAAATACTTTGAATCAAACACCTCTGAATATGACACAACACGATTCAAACTGCCTAAATTTCGACGTCTGTTAGAAACAGTTTTCAGGTTTCTGATGCTGGTTGACTACATATTTCAGGAACTCATCCGTCAACTTATGAACACTGCAGTCACACTACTTTTGGATTTATTTAATTGTTCTGCTAGAATGCCATTTTCAATGGAAAAAAAAAATGAAGAACTCATCAGGTAAATCACACTTTTAATTTATAAAAGGAATTTGTAATCATAAGTTTTTATTGCCATTTATGGAAGAAATATTTAATAATTAAAGCTACAAAGTATAGTTTGTACTCATCTTTTTGCAATTAACAAAACTTATTATTTAGTAATGTTTTACTTAGTACTGTTTTTAAAATTTAAGAAAATTTCCTTATTTTTCAAAATTGTACATAAGTCAGATTGTCATAGAAAATATAAAATGCTCTCTGAAATTTGAATTTCAAATAAATAATGAATAAATTTTAACATAAATACATCCCAAATATTTATATTAAAAGTTTATTCTTTCTTTATCTGAAATTAAAATTGAAATGGATTTCCTGTGTTTCTATTTGCCAAATCTGGCAATTCTATGTATAGGTACACTGCATCTGGCAAGTTCAGAGCTAGTTCTTAAAGATATGTGATACTGTAACAGTGATTCTGGAGGGAGCCACAAGAGTTCAATTTAAATGAGTCAACTCCAATAAATATCTATTGCATACTCCCCCAAAGGAAGCATTTAAAAATTATTTGCACCTTTTAGTTAAATACAAGTGTTAAAAACAAAGCATTTTATGAAACATGGAATATGAATTAAATTGGTAGAATATTTTAAATATTAGTGATATTGAGCATTTTGTCTTGTGCTTATCAACCACTTATATATCTTCTTTGAAGAAACATCTGTTCAATTACTTTGTCTATTTTTTAATTGGGTTATTTATATATATATATTTTTTTTTTTGAATGATAAGAACTTTACATATTTTTGAATACTGGGCCCTGATTAGATAGATGATTTGCAAAAATTTTCTCCCATTGTATGTTATTTTCTCACTTTCTTGATAGTATATTTTAATAAACAAAAGTTATTTAAAAAAACTATTTTTTAGTTGTGAGATATACGTGTGTGTGTGTGTGTGTGTGTGTGTGTCTATATACATACATACACATGTAATTGGGAGCTCTGGTAGCATAGTGCCTAAAGCACTTCACTGCTAACCAGAGGGGCTGGTGGTTCAAACCCAGCAGCCATTCCTTGGAAAGAAGATTGGGCCATCTACTTCCATAGTGATACAGCCTCAGAAACCCAAGGAGGGGTCATTATGAGTTGGGGCCGACTCGACAGCACATAACAACAACAACAATGAACCATTTGATTATTCAACATTTCTTCACATGTATAATTTCATGAGATTAGTTATGATTATCTGTGGCACTGGTGTTTCAAACACCAGCAAGGTTGCACATGGTGCACAGGTTTCAATGCAGCTTACAAACTGAGACAGACTAGGAAGAAGAAAGAGACCATCCACTTCTCAAAAAAATTGGCCAGAGAAAACCTTATGAATAGCAGAGAAACACTGTACCAGAAAGATGTTTACTTGTATTTTATTGACTGTGCAAAAGCATTTGATTCTGTGGATCATAGCAAATCGTGGATAACATTGAGAAGAATGGGAATTCCAGAACACTTAATTGTACTCATGAAGAACCCGTGCATAGACCAGGAGGTTGTCATTTGAACAGAACAAGGGAACACTGCATGGTTTAAAATCAAGAAGGGAGACTAGTGACCACACCAACATACCAGCAATCATCCCAAGTATCTACCTTCAGCACCTGATTTTATCAGTAACTTAGGTTGGCTAGGTGCAAATGGGCAAGTCCAGTGCTGCTGAAACTGGAGCAGAGAGTCCATTGGTGCTGCAAGAGGGCAGGCCCAGGGAGGTGTTCCCACAGAGGATCACTGATCAGGCTTGGGTCAGATTAGTGGCACGGAGGGGCCCAGGCTTGACTTTGTCAGTAATATTGGGAGCACAGTTTATGAGTGGGCACTGGCTTGACCACAGTGCTGTTGAAACCAAGCGGATCTTTGGTGCTGTGGGTATGCAGGCCCTCGGAGGAAATACTGGGGGGGGATCATGGTCTGGGCTGGTGCCACAGGTGGGTGGACCCAGAGAGGAACTCCTGCAGCAGATCTGAGAGCCAGACAGTTGTCTTGGGCCAGCTTTGTGGCACTGAGGGGCCTCGGGAGTAGGGTTTTTGCATGTGTCTGAGCCTGGTGGAAAGTGATGACCCCCTCACAACTAGTCTTTGCTGAAATTGAGCTGCATACCTGTGAATAACAGTACAACATCATCATTAGCAGCCTTCTCAAAGCCCTAGAAACTGCCCCTAGCAGCAAGGAGCATTCCTTCCACTCTTCTGCTATCACCTTCTCTGCCAATAACTTCACTCATCCAATAGAAGAAACCACATTCAGCCACCATAATACCTCCTAGTTTGAATTCTAAACCCTCTTTACAACAAACAGAAACCCATATCCACATTACACATGGTGATTCCACCATCACAAAGAAAACTGCAGAGCAACCCAGCATACCTGAATTAATAACCAAAAACTAAAATACACCAGCTTCACCTTTTCAAAATATTAAATCATAAAACTAAGACAAAACAAATCAATACATAACCAACAGTTAAACACAACCTCAGAATCTCTAGGAAACAACAGACAACCTCAAATCAAACAAAAAACAGGACAAGGCATTAAAAACAAAACCACAAACAAAAGTCTCATTAAATGTGGAGGAAGAGGAGGCAATAAATTGATCTGAGGAGGAAATTAGAAGATATGTTTATACAGCTTTACAAGAGCCTAAGGAAACCTCAAACAGAAGCAGAGAGAACAGAGACAGGTCCCTGGAAGAACTCAGGAAAATCATTCAAGAACAAAATAATAAGATTAATGCACAATCAGAACTCATACAAAAACAGCAGTTACAAATGCAGAAGATGTATACCAAAATTATAGAATTATACAATACAGTAGAAGCACAAAAGAGTAGGTTAGAACTGGCTGAAGACACATATCCCAAATAGAAGACAAATGCCTGGACACCAGGCTGTATGAAGAAAAATCAGAACAAAGATTTAAGAGAAATGAAGAGAATCTAAGAATTATATGGGATGACATGAAAAACAAAACAAAACAAAAAAACCCTAAGACTCATTGGAATTCCAAAACAAGAAGAGGTGAAAAAAAAACACTGAGGAAATTGTGGAAGACCTGACAATAGAAAACTTCCCCCATATCATGAAGGAAGAGAAGATATTTGTCCAAGAAGTTCATAGAACCCCACACAAGATAGATCCCAAGAGAAAAACACCAAGGCATATTATAATCAAACTCTCCAAAACCAAAGACAAAGGAAAAATTTTGAGAGCTGCTCAGGACATAAGAAATATTACTTATAATAATCAAACAGTTAGGCTGAGCTCCAATTACTCACCAGAAACCATGCAAGCAAGAAGGCAATGGGACAGCATATAGAAAACACTGAAGGAAAAGAACTTCCAACCAAGAATGCTATACCCAGCCAAATTATCCATCACATGTGAGGACGAAATTAAGGCATTCTCAGACAAACATAAATTAAGGGATTTTGTGAAAACCAGACCAACCCTACAAGAAATGTTTAAGGAAGTCTTTCCAATAGAGAACCACAACAGAGATCAAGAAAATCAGGATATGCGGCATCAACACTAAAACCAAATCAGAAATAGAAACTCAAAATAAGACCATAAAACACTGTACACTAAAAACCAAGGAAGTCAATCAACTAACTTATCAGAGGGAATAAAACTTCTAGATACAAACTTCCAAATGGAGAGGAAAATAGGACAATGTCTTCACAGTATGCACTGTTCTAAAAATGTAGAGACAAGAATGTACTTCAAGGTAACCACAGAGAAAAGTAACAATCCCCGTAAGCAAATCCAGAAGGAAGAAAAATATATGGGTTTAATAAGCACAAAACCAACAATAAAGAACAAAAGAGAAGAAGCCTTAGGCAATAAACCAAACAGCACAGAAAAGTATATGGGACGAGAAAACACCAACAACATGAAAAAAAAAAAAAAGAAAAATAGAATGACAACAATCAATTCATACCTATCACTAATTACACTCAATGTGAATGGACTAAATGCACCTATCAAGAGAAAGAGAGTGGCAGACTGGATAAGAAAAGAAGACCTTATACTGCCTACAACAGACCCACATTTGACAGAAAGACAAGAACAAATTAAGAGTCAAGACATGGAAAAAAAATATACCAAGCCAATGGTAACCAAAAAAGAGAAGGAGTGGCAATATTAATTTCTGATAAAATACACATTAAGGTGAAAAACATTATAAGAAACAAAGAAGGACATTATATGTTGCTGAAAGGATTAATTGACAAAAAGAACTTTACAATAACAAACATTTATGCACCCAATGAAAGTGCTCCAAAATATGTGAAGCAAATATTAACTAATTAAAAGAGACAATTGACAACTCTACAATAGTAGTAAGAGAATTTAACACACTGCTTTCAAAGAGGAACAGGTCAACTAGAGAAAAACTCAACCAAAATACAGAAGAACTCAACAATACGATCAACCTACTCGACCTCATAGACATATACAGAGCATTTCACCCGACAAAAGCACAATTCACATTCTTCTTCAGTGCACATGGATCCTTCTCCAGAATAGACCATATGTTAGGACATAAAACAAACCTCAATAAATTCAAAAGTATTGAAATACTACAAAGCATCTTCTCAGGCCACAATGCTATAAAATTAGAAATGTATAAAAGGAAGAGCAAGGAAAAAGCATCAAATATATGGAAGCAGAACAATTCACTGCTGAAAAACTACTGGGTAATAGAACATATAAAAATTGAAATAAAAAAAATTCCTAGAAACAAATGAGAATGAAGATACATTTTACCAAAACCTATGGGACACAGCGAAATCAGTACTCAGAGGACAATTTATAACAATAAATTTCTTCTCTGCTCTTTATTATTTCCTTGTTTCTAGGTGCTGTAGGATTCTTTTGTTGTTCTATTTCTTGTTTTTGGAGTTGATGAGTTAGAATGTTGATTTTGTTTCTTTACTCTTTTTTGATGAATGCATTTATTGTTATAA